TCTGATGAAGGGTCTAGGCCCGAAACGTCAGCCTTCCTGCTCCTATGATGCTGCTTGGCCTGCTGTGTTCATCCAGCTCTGCACCTTGTTGTCTCGGATTCTCCAGCATCTGCAGTTCCTACTATCTATGAACCACAACACATGCTTCCAAAACATCTTGTTTGCTTTTTCACCCTGAATACAGCACAGCAATTTTCTACAAAAAGCTGAACACACTAAAATTATTGCAGATACTTTCAGGTTTTATTGCATATGAATTCTGTGCATGTAAATTCTGGGTTTAAATTTGAGGAGGCATACATGAAAATTGCTTCAAATATGTTTTCAATTACAGGGGCAATGCAGCACAAAAATATTTCATTTTCACAAAAATGGAGATTGTGACTGAAACCATTGAAAAAATCAGTTCTTACTGTCAATTAATTCTTGTATGTTTTAAGTCCCATCTTATCCAGAAATTTCTGCTTTGGTCTAATTCCAGTAATTTTATTATATTCAAGGTTTTTTCTGTACAATATCACACTTGAAAGAAGGGAAACATCACTTTGTTTTAGAAATATTTGTTGTTTTTACTCATTGTTTTTACAATATTTATTATCTTAGAACAGATTATTATAACTCAAATGTGCCGCAGACCTCCAAAAGTGCTGCGTCTAAATGTTTGAGCCTAAATCTGCAGGAGCACTTCATTGTCATAAATGCTGGAAACTCGTAACTGTAGGCCATCTGCTTGGAGAAGCAATGCAAATGACAGCAGAGAGTTTGGGAAGGCAATCTCTGAAGTTGAGAAAATGTTCAGTTGAAGAAAAGATGCAATGCTCCTTGAGAATCTCCAGAACTGGCTTGTCGATTTAAGCACCTCCTCCACTTGATTCGCACAGACAGCACATCACCATTACCCTCTCCATTATTTTGAAAAATTCAGCATATTTGCATGTTAAAAGTCCACAAAACCTGCCACTAAAAGGTACAACTCATAGTTAGTAGTTCCAAAAATGTGATCATTTATAATGATTGCCAATCAGTCATTCTGAGCAAGAAAGAAAGCAATTCAACACTGAAGGCTCGTTCCTACACTTTGTCAATTGCTCATGATTTAAATGTTTTACATTTCATTTTCCTTTCTGTATCTATTGTCTGGATCTTTATTCATCTTTATTTCTTTCTCTTTTTATACCTGATTTGACTCTAGGTTACCTCATTCCTCTGTTTCTTTCAGATTCTTTAAATGTTGAGATGAGATGTTGGCTTTGCTGCTAATCTAAGTCCCAAGTGCCCTAATACCCTTGCCCCAGTGTTATCAACTTGCAATTTCAGTGAGCTTTAGTGCAGTTTCAAGTTGAAGGATGCAAAAATAATCCAACCCCTAGTGTATGTCCTGAGGTGTCATCCTCCAGCATATTTTGGCTCATTATGTTCTTAATGTTTCTGTGAATGTTTACTGCAACACCATATCTTGCCAGCTGCATTGCACAAAGATAACTGAAGCAGACACCGCAGTCAGGACAGTCTCCCACCAATTTCACCTTTAGTAAGATAACCAGTCAGAAGAATGTGCTTAAAAAAAGGTGAGTGCTTTGAACTGTGCATCTTCCAACTGTGAATGTTGTTGTGCTTCTGGTCACTCAGATCCCACTGTTGCCATATTTTCCAATTGATTTCTGTGCCTGAAGGCCTCCTAGGACACAATCTGCTCTCCATTTATTCCCTGAATCTGGTTGATTTAAAGAAAAACATCAGCTTTTACCAACTGCAAAATACATTAGGATAATGTAAGTTAACAATTCAGACAGCAAGTAAACATTAGCTACTGCCTGGATCAATGATGCCCAAATGTAAATGAAGACTGCAGAGTTGTTTTACTTTTTACTTGTTGGAGTATCAATCTACATCACAGTGCAGTTAGTTTAACGTATTTACTAATGAACTCAAACTTAAAAATGTATATAATTTCATTTGATTAAAATTTTCCATTGGCAAATGAAGTTAAAGTATTCAATGAGCGAAATAACAACTATTTTATCCTCCAGTTTATTATGGGTTTGGTTTGTAATTCTACTATGTTCTTCCATTTATTTTACTATTAAATGAAATATAATTTAACAACATTCAGAATATTCAAGCCTGATTCCTACAAATCCTAAGCAACACCAGAGGAAATCTGCCAGTTTTTAAACAGTACACAACAGAATTCTCACACTCTCTTTCCAAATATTGGTTGAGTTCAATCACAGAAATATTGTATTCACAGGACAACGTGTCATGCAGTTAGGACTACATGGAAAAGAAACTGCTCCCACAGCAGGTCTATTAAGTAAATGCTTGTAATTAGAGCTCATGCTAAATGTTCATTTACCATCAAGCCATCAACTTAACAGACAAAATTACACAAACTGGATTAACACAAGGAATCACCATGGTTAATGACACTCTTGTGATACTCCTCCTTAATATTTTATTTACCCATTTCATCATAGAGAGTGAAAGTCAAAGTGTGTTCTCCATAAAGTCTATTGAACAGTGTCACGAATAACTAAATGCTACCTGAAAAAGACAAGAAAGGGAATCTATTGCAGCATGAAACAGTGCACGTACTTTAGATCTTTACGAGGTAAGACAGTTGTTCTGGCTTCCCCAGAATTGATGAAAATATACAGCTGACAGTAAGTCCATAAAAAAATTAAGCACAGCTGGTGTTATCCCTATCATTAATTCTCCATATTTTTACCATTTTATGGTTAAAATAAATTCAAAGCATCTGTATCACATGTAAATGTCTCTTTATGCATAATGAACACTGGTTAATTTATATGAAATACTCTCCAAAAATTGATCAGTGCAACTATAAATAAGAACTACTCTTCATATGACAGTTGGATATAATTTGTTTTCTGAGCTCATATTTGGAAGGCTATCAACATGATGTATAAACAGTAACAGTGCCAACATTTCAGTAGTCTGCATAGGTGGTGAATGAAGCCCAGTAGACATACAGTTAAAATCATTAAAAACATACTGGCTTCTGGAAATCCAGAATTTTTACCATCACAGCAACCATTGGTTTTCCACAAAAATCTGATCATGTTTACCTGTTTACTGGATTCTAAAGTCAATACTGAGTACATTACATTGTAAATCTGAGCAAAAGCACAGAACTAAATTCAAAGTAAACCAGTCTACTATCTGATGTTTGGTTCCTACTGCACAAAATGTTGGTAAGTCAATAGGTGTCTTTAACATGTGAGATTAAGTGGTTACAATAAAATAAATTTAGTTGATAAAACACAAAATTTTTATTATATGCGTGCAGCTGTAATAGTTATTGATTAAAAAGTAAAACTGTCAGGCTTTTGATTTACATTATATGCAGGTCTCATTTGAAAAATATAAACTATGTCCTTGCTCATTTTGTATCAGCATGCATTCTAGTTTAAGTCAGTCTCGGGTATTATTTCATAGTATTGTTCAAACACCGATGAACTGTCTAAATACAGAAGTTTCAACATGGACAAATTTCCTCGTTTTGTAGTTGTGCGCGAGTTATGTTGGCCTTAAGTTAGTACTCCCAGGAGCAGCACTAAGAAATAACGTTCCCAAAACAATTTAAACATTTGTATATTTAAATCCCGCTTGTTGTATTTTATGCGCCTAATCTACAATATCGTCAGATTGGGGCTATCGTCTATTGTGTGTCCAATATTTTTTTTTGGCAATAACCCCAGTGCTCAACTTTGCTGTGGGCACATTCTGAAATTTGTAAAGAAGGAAACAAGTAATTTTACACAAAACTCAGAAAACTAATTACCACTGGTTCCTGTAGAAACTGTTTGGATTCCACATGCATACTATGGCCAAAACTTCACATGCATAGCAGAGACACCTTTATCTATCCACTACACTGAATAGAATATGCAACACAAAAATACAGTAGGATCATTCTCAGTGAAGCCAGTCGCAGTTGAACGTCGCGCTGAAAGCCTGTAGATATTTTCTAAGTGTTTCATTATTGTTCCCAAGTGCTGGCAAAAAAAAACTGTATTTATGCCACATGATCAGTCTTGTATCTGACATCTAACAACTTGCTGGATGTAAACATCACTGGCACAGTAAAACGTTTATTTGACCATTGTGTGAAATTAAAACTTACAGTTACAGACACACACAAAAAGTGCTATTTTTCAACTTTTTTCCCTATTTTATTGAATTCATTCATGAAATCTTGGGTTTCGCTGGCTGGGCCAGTTTTTATTGCCCTTCCCTAAACATCTCCAGACTTCACAACTCAGTAAAAGCCGGTGTTACCACCTCATTCCTTTAATAATAACTAACCACTACCTTAGCTGACCGAAGTCGCAACCAAAAAAAAAGCTCCAAACTTGTTAAAAACCAAAAAGGCAACGCGAAGTTTGTGGATCATTGTTAGCCTGTGAGATAGCTGGCCATCCCCGCCTTCAACGTTGAGAAAGTGTGCTTACCCGATATCTCTTGGTAGGGGATGTTGCTGAGGCTGAATCCTTTCGCACTGTAAGCCTGCCTCACCTCAGTACAGCTCCGGGCTTTCGCATCACCCAGCACCGAGCCACCAAGGACCGTCACTAAAGTGCAGAGCACCGCCAGTAGAGAACAGATCCCGGACATGGTCAGGAAAGTACGCAGGCTTCTTGTTGGAAATCCACTTTTCTTGTAGTTGTTGCCACCTCACCTCCTCCCCTCTCCTCCAGCACTGCCTCCCCAAAACACAGGCGCACACAAAAACCCTGACGAACTCCCCTGGAAAAGTCCTGGCGAGCACAACGCTGAGGCAAATTGTCCAGGTAGCGATCGCTACCAATGGCTTGATCCACTAGCTTAAGCCCTCCTCTTTCCCAAAGCGGCTGGAGAAGGGACTATAGACGCAGAGACACATACAGGCACACACATGCAGAGAGATAGTCCAGATGAGGGGCAGGGGGTGAGGAGAGGGTGGACGATTCATAAAGACGCAGCAAGGAAAGTGATTTCCTTCTCTCTGCACTCTGAATGCTGCAGAGTTGAGCCCACCCTCATGGATCTTGTCTGTCTGTGTGTTGTGAGTGTGTGTGTGTGTAAGATCCTGATCAGTGAACTTCACTCGAGCAGGCTGCGATCTCGGAGCAACAGAGATCCTGGAATATATATATTAAAAACACCCTCCGCCTCTGGATGCTCTCACAGATCCCAGGGATAGGGCTCAAAGCAAAGCCAGGACTGGATTTCTTAGTGTGCGGAATCTGTTAAGAAGTGAGGTGAATGCAGCCCTTTCGAGCCAGATCTTTTCAGCCTGCTCAGGTAAACCTTGTTCCGCAACCACGATGCACTGCACGCACATTTCAACCGCTGTCGAGATTTCGAAGGAATATTTCCAGACTTCATTTCATTCCAGGCCCCACCCTTACAGAGGAGTAGGAGTGACTGATTTCTTGCGGATGGTCGATCAGTGAGTGAAGCTGCTGGGCTGTGCTATGTCGCTTTCTCAGTGCCTGACTGCTCAGCTGTAGCCTGTGAATCCGATCCAACGGTTCCATCTTCAACTCCACAGCTGCAGCGAGAAGGCAATGACAGTGTTCATTTGAAAATGTCACATTCTCCATGAAAAAAATACAAACAGGCTCTGGTTCCCCAGATGGGAAAGACTAGTAGAAAAGCAGCAATACTTGGAAACAGGCACACTGGTCATCCTAGAGTTCCATGCTGAAGTATACAAGTCTTGTCGGACCAGAAATAAGAGCACAAATTGCTGGAGAAATTCAACAAGTCTTGCAGCATCTGGGGAGAGAGAAAACAGTTTTAACGTTTCGAGTCTAATATGACCAGAATGAATCATTTGCGAGACTTACTGGTGTACCCTTCTTGGTTAGTGCCTTACCACGTTTCATTCCACATAGACTGAATGAGAAAAGAAAAACTTATCTGGCATATTCAGCAAGTGGTTAGGGTCTGGAATATGTCACCCAAGAGTGTGGTGGAGGCAGATTCAATCAACGCCTTCTTAAGGGAGTTTGACTATTATTTGGAAAGAATAACGAGCAGGGTTATGTGCGAGAGAACAGGAGAATGGTATTAAGCAAGATGACCTTTCATCCAACAAAGTGTCAGAAGTAGGCATGTTCACTGATGATTGCACAATATTCAGCACCATTTATGACTTATTAGATATTGAAGAAGTCTATGTACAAATGCAGTATAACCTGGACAATATCCAGGCTTGGGCTGACATCTGACAAGTAACATTTGCACCACACAGATGCCAGGCATTGACTAACTCCAACAATCCAACAAGAAAGAATCTAGCCATTACCACTTGACATCACTGAAGTCTCCACCATTAATCTCCTGAGGTTATCATTGATCAGAAGTGTAACTGCACTAACCATGTAAATACTATGGCTACAAGAGCAAATGAGACACTAGGAATCATGCAGTGACTAATTCAGTTTGTGATCCCTCAAAGTCTGTCTACCATCTACAAGGTGCAAGTCAGGAGTGTGATGGCATACTGTCCACTCGCTTGGGTGATTGCAGCCCCAGCACCACTTAAACATTTAGGCACCATTCACCACAAAGCAGCCCATTTGACTGGTGCCAGATCTACACACATCCACTCATTTCATCACTGATGCTCAATAGCAGCAGTGTGTACCAATTGCAAGGTACACAGCAACATTAATCAATGCTCCTTAGACAGCTCCTTGACTACTACCATTTAGAAGGACAGGGCAGATACATGGGAACACACTACCACCTGCAATTTCCCCTCCCAGCCATGCACCATCCTGACTTGGAACTATGTCCCCATTGCTTCAGTGTCACTGGGTCAAAATCTTGGAACTTCTTCCTTGATGACATTGCAGGTCTGCTGAGCAAATGGACTGCAGCAATTCAGGAAGGCAGCTCACTACCACCTTCTCAATTGTAATTAGGGATGAACAATGCATTCTGACCCAGCCAATGATACCCACATCCCATGAATGCATAAAAAGGAGATCCAAAAATTGTTGTGTCGCTAGAAGTAGCTGCCTTCAGGCAGCCTAAAAATACATGAAGTGGAATGATTGGTCAAACTTTTTTTTAATTGGTGTTGTCTGTGGGAAGAATGTAGCAAGTTGTTCTTCCACAGAAACCTGCTACAAAATTTTTGGAATTCACTTAAATTATCTGACAAACAAGGAAGCTACAAAAAATGCTGCATCCTTCAATTCTTTCCACTAGTGGGTCGTCTCAGATTACGAGTTGAAGCTTCCTGTATAAACCACAATATTTCGACCCGAATATGAGTGGTCAACAGAATAAAGTTGAAACAGGGAATGATTTAGGCATGATGATGGGCTTGCGGAGAAAATTGAAATGTAAAAAACTGGAGGGCAAGTGGAGAAGCCCAGGAGACGAGGAAAAGTGAAAGGGTCAGGATGGAGGAATAGACACATTTCAAGCAGTGCAGCATTCTGTCAGTATAGTGCTAGAGTGTCAGCCTTAAATTTTGTGCTCAAGTCTCTGGAATGGGATCATGAACTGGCAAACTGCCATGTTAGAGGTATGAACTTGACTAACTGAGTCGCAGCTGACACTTGCCATGTGAAGGGGATGTGGGAGAGCTGGTCGGCAAAAAAAAAGTGTTGAGGAAGCAAAATCAAAGCAGGAAGGCAAAAAGAGAAGAGAGCAGGAGGAAAAATAAATTGGAGAGGGGGAGCAAGTAAATGATAGAAGGGAACTACAAAACAAAGAGAGGGAAGAGAAAATAAGGGAGGGAAAGACAGCAAGGAATAGAGGGTAAGATGTACAATGCAGCATGAGAGGAATTCGGAATAGGAGTAGACCATTTAGTCTTGAGAACTTGCCTTGGTATTCAAGGAGCTGATCTTTGACCCACCTCCATTTACCTACTTTTGTCCCATTATCCCACTTGACCTTTCTTTAAGGGAAATCTCTCAATCTCAGATCTTTGACAATTGAGCCACCATTGGTTGCTTTTTATGGAACATAATTCTAAATGTTTATCATCATTCATTCTTTTATTTAAGTTCACTCCTGAAAGACTTGGCTGTAGTTGTTTTAGTCTATGTTTTCATAGCCATAGGTTCCCCAAATAGCAGAATTAGTTTGTCTCTTTCCACCTTAGCATTGACCCTAAGTAAGTTCAAAACTTGGATCAAATCACCTCTTTTAATACAATCCTTCCAGCATGGAAGCCGGCCATTTAGCCCATTGAGTTCACACCAACCTCCTGTAGAGCAGCCCACACAGACTCACTCCATATCTTATATCCTACTTTCCCATGGCTCATCCACCTAGCCTGCACATCCCTGTACACAATGGGCAATTTAGCATGGCCAGTCCACATAACCTGCACATCTCCAGTCTGTGGAAGGAAACCAGAGCAGCCAGAGGAAATCCATGCAGACATGGAGAGAATGTGCAAATTACACACAGACAGTCACCTGAGGCTAGAATTGAACCCAGGTCCCTAGCACTGTGAGGCAGCAGTGCTAACCACTGAGCCACCATGCCACCCTCTTAGGACTGGGAGGGTGGTTTATGTTACCTCACCTTAGAATTTCACTCTCAGATACCAGGTATCATTCTAGTTTATCTGTAGTGGACCCCTTCCAAGATTAAAGAAATGCAGAGATAGAGTTGAGGGCAAAGAGAAGGACATGAGGGACAAAGATGAGGCAAGATTTTGTTGAAAGGATAAGACTTTTAAATTGGCAATTGAATATTTTATACTTGGGAACTTGCCTATGCAATGTTAAGAGGCTTGAGGTTTTTGGGCAGGAAGTTTTGAATATAAGGTAAGGATCAGATGGTGTAGAGGAAATGTGAGGAAACCTTTTCCAACCAGAGGGTAGTTCACATCTGGAACTCACTGCCTATAAGGGTGGTAGAGGCAGAAACCCTCATAATGTTTAAGAAGCATTTAGATGTGCACTTGCAATAGCAAAGCTGACAAGGCTATGGGCCAAGTGCTGGAAAATGGGACTAGAACAGTTAAGTGGTTGTTTTTGACTGGCACAGATGCATTGACCTGAAATGCCTTCTTCTGTGCTATAGATCTTTATAACTCTATGATTATGGCTATTTGTATCTGGGAATGTTCTGATTTACTGTGTATGAAAAATGCAGGCGTTCCCTGCAAAGAGTCACATGGCTTTGTGAATTCACACTCATACGTGCTTATTGGCTAAGATGCAGTTATGCTCCAAATAGTTGGACCTTCCCAACCTAACCTTAAATGTTTTCTGATATGATGTAGCAGAAGAGTTGCTTTCCCAAATCCAGGTTTTTAACCATAGTTACTTAATTCCTATTATTATTGACAATTGTTGATCAAGTCATCATCAGAGAGTCAATTGTCATCAATTACTTGTGCAAAACTCGGTCCATGATGCTTTACCAGGCTTAACAGGCAGGCCCACATTGAATCAGTGATTATTTTGCAGGCGGCTCTGTGTTAAAGATGCCAACTCTGATTCAAAATATCCCTGTAGGTTTCAGCACACGACATCTCACTGCCAAACACCACTGACACATAGCTTTTTTTATTGTTATACATTTATTGGAGATGGATAAAATGGATATTGGAATGGATAAAGGAAATCAAATAAAATGAAAATTGAAAAAAAGTCAC